AATTCTGTTGGAACTCCACAACACACAGTAGGCAAGGCAGTTATCATGTCAAGTAAAATCAACATACTATAATAATCCTCAGAAATCAATGTATTGCCACTGTATACTAACGATAATCAACAGAGGAGGGTCATGCTGACCCAAAGGTCATAAAACATTACCCCTGTAGATCATAAAAACACAGCCGGCAGACATGTGTTCTGGGTAGTGTCTGTTAATCAGATGGGGACTAAAGCCAATAGGATTATAATGACCTGATATGAGATCTGGAATCCTGCTGTCTGTGTGTTATCATTCAGGGATGCTTATAGAGCTGTCCATCCATTAATGGTGATTATATCCACCAAATTTTTATTAAATCATTCATGCTTTTCCAGGAGGAAAGTGAAAAATCAACATAAACCAGAACATTTATAATATATAAAAATTTGGGTACAATTGTGACAGGTGATTCAAATCTGGAACTTTCAGATCAACAGCTTTACTGTATATGATGCATTCTATTAAATTATTGATATATATATACTGTATATGTATATTGTACTAAATGTGTACTAGCTGTGCCATTCTGCCTAGGAAAACATTAGAAATGTGAATGTAGTTCAGTGAGAGAATCCAGATATGACCTGTGTATTGTATATTGTGGTTTTACTGGTTGAAAGTCTGTTCTAGGTTCTAGGTCTGTTGTTCTGTACTGGTGGGTAAAGTTGTAGGAGTTTGCACTGGGGAATTGACCTTCTGTTATCAGTAACACCAGACTTCAGTTCAAAACCAACCAATCACTGTCTGTTGTGTATAATTCAAATCTCAAGTCATACATACTGTAAGTACTTTATATAAGTACATTTATTGACACTCGCTAATTTATATAAGTACATTTATTGACACTCGCTAATTAAGTTATCTTGTCAACTGTTTGTTATAGACTTACGTGGGATGCACTTGATTGTACCTATACTGGTGTTATCGTGAGAAGCCCTTCATGTGCTTACAAATGAATGCTAATTGTTGCCTTTTAGCAAATTGGAGTACCCATATTAACACATACTTCATATACTAAACATGTAGCCATATTTGAACTCTGTGTTGTGCTATATTCGTCATGCCAACACAATATACACAGGCAGATGTTGGCTCCTAACAGTTATCTTCGCCCATTCTTTATGGCTTAGTGTATCTGGTAATGAGGCTGGAAGAAATTAGCACATTTAAGTGTTGTTATTTCAATCGGTGTGTTAATAGGCAACTATTTGGTACATTGTTCAAAACATGCCACAGCTTTCAAAAGCAGGAAATCTTTTTATAAGCAGATTATATTGAAGTTTCATTAAAGACATTTCTCTGTAAGATCCACATTCTTTCTGAGGAGCTGTCAGTGATGTTAGTATGAATATGTCATCATTGTCAAAACTTGGGACACCATGGACTGATATGGTTCTTTAATCAAGTATCCTAATTGAACAAGAGATGTTCACATATCTCGGTAATTTTGAGATGGGTAACTCCACGTTATCTCACATACTTATCACAACCCAAGATTCCATCGCTAACTCACAGCTGATATATATATGGAAACCTGTCTGTAGCTGTTTTATAAGATGTTTTATTGTCTCTTTTAACTGTACATTGCCGTTTGAATGTTTTTTAATAACCTTCATAGTTCTTTTTTCGTAAATATGAACACATGCATTTTGTGGTTTTTCAAGACTTAGTTCTAGGATTACGACAAGATTAGAAGAAAGTGCTGCTGAGTATGACATGTATTGTTATATTCAGCACTCCCCTGGGCCTATCAGCTGTCGAGGGGAGTGAGCATCTTACACACATGTATCATACCCTTGTGTAATGCACGTGCAAATGGGAGGGGAAACAATGCTGCATTTAGACAAAACAAGAGAGATAAAGTGACACACACATGTTGGTTTAGTTAGCAAGCTTTGAGTTAGTCGAGTGATTTGACTCATGACAGGGTATACTCATGGAAGGAGGGATTACATAGACTGCTACCTAACCTGTGTTCTTTAAAGTTATAAACCCATAGATAGAAGATGTTGTTCTTGTAAGGTCCTAGGGGGACTTTTTCATAGAAGTGACCCTGCACCTTTACTACAGAAGTGTGATCATTAATTGGAAAAGTATTGGAGAACTGGTGATACACAGACTATATGATATGTGTGAATTAAGTCATGCATGAATGAATGAAAATGTATAATCAGTTGTACTATAGAGGTAATGACTCGAGGAAGAAAGGAAACAACAATTAGTCATCATGGTTCATAGATTTTACTGAAGAAATATTGACACAGTTGTTCTGTGACAGTGTGAGATGTATGTATAATCAAACTGGTGACTGGTGCTGGAGGTCATCAAAATTCATCAGTTACACTGCAGATTATCAGCAAGTATTGGAATTAAGGACAGAATTTCTGTACTGATGGGCAGGAATTTCCTCTATTTAAACTAAATAAGAAGATAAAAGGTGAATAATTCTGTATTGATAGAAACAGTTTGGACATGACAGCTTGTGTATGAAGAACTGAAGTTGTATGAAACAGGACATAGGCCAGTATTACTTCAATAACTTCTGATGGCCTAAGTGGGTGTGTTGGTAGCCAGCCATTGTATATATAATAAGGATGTAGTACCTTTCCACTTGACTTGTGTGATAAAAATGTTTATGATATAGAGTCCATCTGGGATAGCCTCACCATCCTGTGTTACTTGAGGATATATTATCAAATGGGATAGTTCTATACTACTGCTGTACATGAGGAACTAAGGAACAAGCTGTGTCAAACATCAGCTGGAAAATCAAATTGTGGTTGATAATAGATATTGTTGTGGCTGTGACATGTTCATTACTCTGACCTTAGATGTGTGAAGTAGACCTTGCTTGGTTTTGTACATAAAAACATTGAGAAGGATCATCAAACTGCTAACATACACCAACATATATATTTTATGTGTGTCAGAGTCGTCAAACAGGAGTTGTGGGTGTATGTGGGATTTACAATACGATCTTTCTCTAACTTGGATTCGTGCCATGGTGAAGACCAGTTGTGTGTAGAAATAGTGTCTAACCTTCTGTCATTGTTTTCCTGACATCTATAGATGCTGTCTGATGTCACTCCTTCCTGTCACTATAGCTTCTGCAAATATATTGAATATTTATCATTTACCTGTAAAGGAAAGAAACACAGAAACAGTTAATGTGCGTGTGTGTGCAGACACATTTAATAGTGTGCTATTAGTGTCAGCCATAACACATGTATTAATAATGGTATAATTACAACTACAGCGACCAGGTGTGGCAAGGTGAATCTATAAATAATCTATACCTGTCATATACATAAGAAATCGTCCTTATGTATCACCAAGGGGACAAAGCTAGTAAATTTAGGAAGCTATAACATACAGACGAGATCTGATGTAGAATTTCTAAACAGTCTTCCTTGCTGCTGCTAACATATCATCATTAGTCTGAGGTGATATGTACAGACACACAACACAGGTATTGAGGGGGTAACACAAGTCAGTGATGCTTCACATTTACGTGGGTGATACCTGCAGAATCAAATCTGGGATATTACAGATCTTTGATGTTCAATGAATATTTACTTGATATGCATCTCAAAGATTCTGTTGATTAATTTTAAGAACTTTATCTTACCTGAAGATTTGATACCTGTGATATACAGGTGTGAATCTGTTACCTGTAAAGATATTGGGATCAGTACATATACAGCTGCACATCTAATGTCATTACTGATTAAGAGATAGGATATTTATTATAACCATACTGTTACCTGTGAATCTCTTACCTGTCTTTTTTACCTGAGATCAGATATCGGCTAATGTCAGCGTTTTATTCTAAGTACATCCGGCGTTTTACATGTATACATTGAGAGTGGCTGACAGTATTTGTGTAGGGCATTACTCATCTCATGGTAGGAAAAGACAGCCAGACACCTTGACTGTTTCGAGTTTGTCCCGAGTCTCCGATGGTCATCCTCAGTGTTGTGTTTTGGCGGTAATTAAGTGCCAGGATAGGTTATCGTACCTATGCATGAGATACCTGGCCAATATTTCGAAGTGTTGAGGCCAATGCCAGTGTGGTAGTGTTTGGCTTATGGATGAGACATAACATTTATTATTATTCTATTTGAGAATCGTCTAAAGATGTGTCCGACTTGAGTTGGCAGAGGTTGTGTTGACCAGTGTCCAGTCTTATGTGTCTGCATTACTGAACATTGATGAAGTTACCTATGGCAGGTCACAAATTCTTCTACTTGACATGATTTGAAAGATCATCATAAAAAAACCTTTCATTTCTGTCACAATTACATACTGTGTGTTCTGTATATACATGTGGTTTAATAACCTACCTCAGAAAATCCTGTGAAAGCCTATTTTTACCACTGAAAACTGGATGAAAGGATAACGTGTAAGGGACAGATTTTCTGTTACATAGTGGAGAGTTTATATTGGTGTACAGTTACGCTGTGATATTGAAGGGAAACCGAGACCATGAAATCATATTTACCATGAATTTGTGTGAGAATTAGCTCAGTTACCTGTGATATAAGTGGTGTGGTGTAAAAAACATATACCTCTGACCCTGAATCTTGATATTAATGTAACAAGTAGTGAAAGTTTTATATAAAAATTGAGCATGCATCGCATCTGTGTCTGACGTATCATTAACACACTAACAATGACATACCAGGAAATACTTCCTTGTGTACATTAGCAATACATCTCGCTATCGACAGATCTAACGTTTGTGTGATTCTCTGGCGAAGCTGGTAATATTCGTATCAATATTGACAAGAGAAAATGCCGTTTGATAGGAACAAAAGTGCTGTACGGACTATGCCGCCCTGTGGTAGACACAGGAATGGCGTGAGGACAGTACCGACATTTCAGAGATTTATGAGTGTTCCCTTTGACTGGCGAAGTAAACTCGACTTATGGGTTGGTGTTTTGGTGTATCCTTTCAGGTCCATCATCAACTCTCGCATCAGGTCATCTCGCTCACATGAGTCGCTACTGACCAACTCTGTGACAATGCACTCAATTGACCTTGCGTCCCAGGAGCTGGACATCAAGCCCTTACACAGCAGCATTCTGGGACAAGATCACTGCTTCCAAGTCGCAACCTCACATGGAAGTAAATACATTTCCTGTCGCACAGCAGAGGAGCGTGAGAAGTGGCTTGGCAGGTAAATATACACTTTACATACAATTTTTGTTAGAATCTACATTTTTTCACTCAACTTTTTACTTTACAATGTCATGTAACACCTACTGTAAATCTGTGATGTCAAATGTATATCTTCAAAACTTCTTCCGAAAACAGTATTGATTTCAACACAATCTAAGATAAGTCAAAACAACGTTTCTCAGGTAAGGTCCGTCAATACTAATGTAAACGTGATTCATTCAACATCATCATCAACATAATCATTCTTGTTATTATTATCTAAGTTAACAAAGTGCTGAATTAACAAATCCACAGCAGTTGCTACGTATTTTAGCAAAACATTTTCAACATGAAAATGGCAAAATTATGAGGAAAATATGAACTTTTGCTGTGTTTAGCAGGATTTGTGTGAATTTCTGGTCAATATTGAAACATTTTCTTTTAATATCAAACAACAATTTTCATTATGATAGAGTAGATATTACTAGAGTGGTTAGAGACAGAACTTGTCCTTGTTTATAAACAGTGCTGTAGTGCTGATCACTACTAATGAATATTATACCCTGACACAGTATCCACCTTATCAATACCTCTACACTGGAACATTATACCATTCACAAACAGCCTAATCTCTACTCTGACATAACATAACCATTACAAAAATCTGGTTTCCATGGAAACATGACATCTGACTGTTTGGGAAGTAGGATGGATTTATTAATGTATTCGTCAGCATCAATGGAAGTGATGATTGTGTGAACATTAATTAATTATATACGAGTCTGTCATGATTATGTATGCATGAGTTAGCAGTTTGTCGTAGTTTGAAGACATGATATCACAATGACAGACCCTGTAAGTGATGCTAATCATATGGTTTAGCTTATCAACCTTTTAATAAATCCTTGGTGTTTGCCATATGTCCGTTTATCAGTCTTAGCCTACAAAACCAGTGATAAATTCCTCCATTTTGTTTGCATTCGTAGGAGGTTAATCTTCGGCACGTTCTTAAGACAGCATTGTAACGGAAATACATCCTTCATCCTCCCACTCAAATCAAATAATCTTTAACTTCACACGAAACAAAAGAGACAGATACCTGGAACTTGGTTCACTTGTACTGGAGGAGAGGCTGAAATGCCGTGCCGGAATTGATGTTAGGGAGCTTTTGATTTATTCTGCCCACATTTGTCTTCCTTGATTTGATTTAAGTAGGCTTCATTCGCTAGTCTCTACTTACTCAGGTGATCGATCGATTATAAAATGTTACAATTTTTGAAATACAGATTTTATTGTGATACATCCGCCTCCATTACGATCATCCATACATCTCTGAAAAGAAAGTCAGGTCCTGGTTTATGTATAATCTACCTCACTTTGGTGAAAAGATAAAATCTGGAGATCTATAACGTTTCTGTTTTACTGCACTTGGTATTAGCCTTTAATGGGAAAATATAGCTGCCCAACAATAAAAATATGTTGGAGGTTTTAAATTTGTTATGCAAAGGTTAAATATCTCTGTATTAGTAAATTGATCAGTAAATCCCTCAGCAAAATTTGTTCATCCATCAAAAACGATTTTACTGTACCAATAAAAAAAAACTCAACCTTCATCTATCTGAAAGGTTAGAAGTAGATGGCTTCCTTGGAGAATATGTTCAATCATTTCATCATTTATACATGGGTAATATAAATAGTTGAATGTGGATACTGAAGCATACGGGATAATCTTGACTTGAATACAGAAAGATTAAATTTTACATGAATATGGCTATTGATATATAGGTAGTGATAAATATGGGTCAGTGAATCATTCCATTGTTGAACTGGAACGTCTTATAGCCCAACTAATCCTGTCAGGAATTCTTGACATTTCTTACTGGGAATAAGCAATCAAATAAATGTTAGTTAAAGAATAGATATTTTCAGATGAAATATCATCCAGAATACAATACAAGGTTTGAGGATATCTAATTTATCTTTACAATTCACCAACAATGAACCAATACAATATATGGACCTTTACAGAATCCGGATCAGAGAAGTGCTTTACAGCATCAGAAGAGTGTTTTAACAGAAGCTAGTGTTATACAAGTGTTAAGCTGATTGTTTTGGGTGCCTCATTAGTACTAAGTGTATGTGATTCTAACTGTTCACAGATAACATCTTATTCCACACTGGTCCATGTGTTCTCTTCACACATGGTCCTGTCTGGTCTGGCTACCAGCCAGTCTGTGTCTGTATAAAGGTCCCGACTGTCCGCTCCCAGTCTACACTTTCACCAGACAGACACTTATGGTCCAAAGTACCTGTGACTGTACCTTAAGTCTGGTCTCCCGCACTCTAGATCATGGTGCTTGGTCACCAAGACTAAGCCTATTTCTCTTGCCACAAGTTTGCCAACCAAAACTCGATTTGGCAAATCATTAGACTGGTACTTGTGAGTTATCCCAAGCCCTTCATCACCAACAGATGTTTGATGAGTTGACAATGTATACTGTCTGTACTGTTTTAGATAAGGCTGATTGATCCTGAAGTTGAACAATCCAATATGTAAATCAAAGTGATAAGTTGTGGTATATAATATTGTGTATGTTAGACGGAGTGATACTTTGTAGAATGTAATATTATATAATAATGTTTATCACTGTGATAATTGTAATATGTAATATTATATGTATTTTAGTCAGAGTGATGTTTTATACTTTACAGCCTCAGAAAGACCGTTCAGCCAAACCAAGACAATGTCAGAAGAACAAACAACTCTCTTAAACTCTGGGTCAAAGAGGCTAAAAATGTCCCCTCAAAAAAGAGGTAAGGAATTTCACATAAACTCTGGGTCAAAGAGGCTAAAAATGTCCCCTCAAAAAAGAGGTAAGGAATTTCACATAAATTAATGTACTACAGGGAGATCTGCACTGTTCCTGTGGCTTTGTTGTCACTGTCACTGTAGGATGTAACATACTTCCTTCTGATAGATTCCTTATTGTTCTGAAATTCTCTAGATTTTAAACAACTTTCCTTGAAAAAAAAATAAAGATTTTTAACGCAAAATACATGTAAGCTGAGAGTAAATCACAGTTAAAAGTTACAACAGACCAGGGACTAAGATATAATGAAGTTATAAAAACACTAAATTCTGACAGATTTATTTCCAGAGAAATCTGACATGATTTAGTCTGCCTAGATGGCTTACTGTAGTTTATCTCAGTCATTCTTAATTCTCTTTTCAACCTCAATGAAATGCTATATCGCATGAAAACAACAGGTTTATATTTAACCACTAATAAAGTAGCCATCTTATGAGTTTGTTTGGTCACAGTTCATTACCTTTGTCACTTTAAGTACTGTAGCTACAGTAAGATTGATGTAGATGTAGATTGGACACGTTTACTTTATTTGTGATACAATCAAATCCTGTGACAATATGAGAGGTTGGGAAAATGTCAAGATATATCAGATTCCTCCTACTGTCATGGTGTGCAAGGTCCATCATAGGATATTGTTCAGTACATCTGGCTAGTTAAACAGCTATTTAGACTATAGCAGTTTGATTTTTATGGATGATGTCGCCAGAGAATCGATCTTTCAATTGGAAAATGCCCAGCAATGGGAAGCGTCAGTGGAGATGAAAAACCAGCATCATTATCATCATCAGTCGTTGTGGACAATCCTTTGTAAATCTCCAACCCTGATTGGTTGCTGTGTAAGACCACCTGGAAATATCAATATATTTAGCCAAGCAAAACTGTTCTTAAGTTTGTCATTTAACCTTGGAAATGGGCTGACTAACTGATCTGTAGTAGATGCTATGATGGTAGTTAAAGCTAGGCTTGCCATGGTGTGGTACATGGGTAAAGACTTTCAGGTACACTATTTCACATGTACCACTGATTAAACAAAGCTGGTGTTGAGGGGATCCTTGACGTCATTCATAAACAACAGACAAAGATGCTGATAGGGTGCTTTTTCTTTTATATATATATAATAGCTCAGTATTACATGTAGATTACTTGACCCTAACTGACCTTAAGGTCATGTGACCTGTTCCACTACAGTCAACTGTTCTACTTATACATACTTCTGATGACTGCACCCTTTTGGTGCATAAATTGGTTGTACAAAATATGTAGGTTAAAAGCATGTACTTTAAGGTCTGAACTTGGAGACATCTAGCACTTTTCTCAGGAAACCACTTCCTCTTTTACAAATAAAACAAGACAAGAAATAATAAATATAATGTCAATATTTCCTCCTAATTACTCAATTTATAGACAGTGATTTACAATTACATTAAGTTAATGTTAAATAGGGGTAAATAATGACTTTAAAGATAAACAGTTAATGTTTATACCAAAAGTGTTGAACAAGAAACAGATTGGATGTTTTGACATACTGTGGCCAGGAGGTCAAACACTACCTATCCTTAAAGTGAGTGGTAAGGACATCAGATGAAATCTCTGTCTTGCATCGTTTGATTTCACTACCCATGCTGATTAATAAGTGATATATGAGGAAGGGAGATCATCAGATCTTTTGATGTGAACCCAATATTTTCATAGAGTTACATCATGCTGGTCAGTAATGACGAGATCAGGAATGTGTATAGGTTCTGGTCAAGCATGAACTGTCAATCCAGTACTAAATTGATCTGGTCAAGCATGAATGGTCAATACAGTCCTAAATTGATTTCATCTTTAGCACATAAGTGACCGTCCTTTAGATGTTGTCAGACCATGAGTGGCCTGCCAGAGGGGTCAGGTGTGTAATAATGACCAGGGGTCGTCTTACCTTGTACTGACGTAATTACTATAGCTGTTGCACATTGTTATTATTGTCACCGTAAGAGAGAAGTACAATCTATCCTGGCCCTTTGTCAGGGGACCAGATCCTCACACATCGTATAGTTATACATCATAATGTATAATACTAGTGGTGAAATCACTGACCCTAAACACCTGTTATCAATAGCTGTATCCTTAGTAATGATCACCTGTCAGCATCGGTCAGTTTTCAGAAAAGCTTCAACTATCCTGTTTCATTCACTATACTGAAACTCCTGGGAAAATTTTAATGCATAAAGAAATAAGGTATTAAATTGCACCTGTTTTTACCTGCAGTGACAGATGTGAACACCTGACTGAGACTGTGAGAATTTATAAGGGTCATCTCTCAAAGGTCATGTTAAGCCCTGTACATACTAGGTACAGACACAATGTATCTCTGATATCCATCACTCTCAGTATTGCTAAAAATGTAGATGAATTTGAAAAAACTGGTCATCATGGCATCAGTTTTAATTTGTGAGAAATGACCAGAGATAGATCAGTGACCAGTTGACAAGATGTCAAATTATGGTCAGTCATTAAGTGACTTCCTGTTCAAATCTACTCCCTAGGAAGTTTATAGGTTAACAAGTCATTTTTGGGAGGCTACTTTATAATAGACTAGGCTGACATGGTCATCAATATTTAAGATTTATTAGGAAAAGTGATCATGCATGCAGTGTTCAGTATTTTCCATCACATTTCAAACTGCAGAGTGAATATGATATTCCACAACATATATATGTAGACATATCAAAGTAGCATTTATATATACATGTGTATAAAATTATAAAAGGAAACTTGATGAGGTACCAATATCATGACTAATTTTTATTACGATGGATGGCACAAACAGGATGACCATGGTACATACATTAACTGTTCAGTGTATACCTGTGTATGAGTGACAGTTTGACAGAGGCCAGTACTCTCTACCTACCCCCTACAGCAAGCTAAATCCTACCAACACTACCTGTCTGTCAGGAACATGTCAGTCCAGGGGGAAAAAGTTCAGAATTGTAGATAGAAAACATATATAGACTTGTGTATGATTGACAGTAATATCACTATCTATATAGGACAAAATATTGGTGTTATTTTCTTATTCATGACCCCTGTGCAGAGTCCAAATTAGCATGAAAGATGTTTATTATGAACATAAAAAGGAAAGTAATGTAAACAGACTGGTTTCATGCACCCTTAATTGATGTATGTAATCATATGGTTAGTGATTCTATTCTTCCATATAACAGACTAATTTTGTTAGAAGTTGTCTGAGAAAAAAAGTGGGAATATTCTACAATTACCACTATTGGTAAAAAATAGACCTCATTGTGACCAGAAATCACCTCAAGCTGTTTTGATCTTTACACACGATCTAAATATATGGAGTGTCCTGTGAAAATTTGGTCAGTGGGAAAGTGTGGTCAGATTGTGAAGGGTCTTGGTCCTTGAGATGTAAATGTGTCTCCTTACCCAGTAAAGATAGGACAGGTGAGGTGATTTATCACTTAACTATTGTCCACCCTAGCACCTGTAGCACCTGTTAAAGGCAGAGGGATGGGTAGGCCTTGACACTTCTACCCCAGACTGGACTTAATGGTCAATTAAAAGTCACTTCATGTCATTTAATGGTCATTTGTGTTTAGTTTGACAAGTCCTTCAGAGTGTTAGGTATTCAGGGAATTTGGATTTCATTTGATACTGAGGTAGAATCTGTAATGATAATTGAGTGTTAAATTATGCTTCTTTTGTATCCAGGTAATCAAACAGTTGGTTTCTAAATCTGACGGGTCTGTCCTTGACATAGCATTTACTGACATAGCTAGTCAGCAAATCTGTACAAAGTTGTAACCTTTTCCACTGGGACCAAAAAGGTTGTGTATAACCTTCTACAACCCAGTTTGACCTCTAATTTGCAGAAATAACATTCTGTTAATCTGAATAATTTCACTTTCACAAGTGATAAGATCATGTGTGTGTGTTTCATGACTTTTGGTTTCCTGTGGGTATTCACTTACTGACCTCTGCCATGAGCTTTAGCCAGCTGCTAATCATCTAGACCATAGACTAATATATTCAGTCCGATCTTTGTGACTCATTACCATAGGTATTATATCTAGTCCTCAAACCTTCACTGTATCAGGATGGTGATCACTTTTTGCTTCACTATTTTACAATAAAATACTATGAAATATTTTAGAATATTTTCGTTTATTTACAGACAATAGATGTGTCACTTATTGTCCTGCCCATCCTATGTACCATTTGTCTGTGACATTATCAATCAATACATACCATATTTCTGTGATATACTATGTAGGTAATACTAATTCCTCTGTTGTTGTATATTATATATATATATCAACATTTAGCTCTGATTCTCTGCCTTTGTGCAGCAAGTTCTGACATCCATCTTAGACCTTGTGTGATTCCTGTCTATCACCATCAACAGAACTGTCATATGTTAATGCTTTCATCACCTTGTGATAAGTAGGTCACTGTGATCCACATTTTTGGCTTCACAAACTTTGGTTAAAGGAGACTTTGGTGGTAATAGATGAACATGTGTAGAATTTTCTTCTTTCCATGTCGCCAGATCACTGACATTTGTCAGTGAGATGATCCCCGGCAACAAGAGGTGTCGCGGAGACGGAAAACCTGTAACTAACTAACTACTTCTTTCTTTAGTAAAGCATGTCTTTCATCTGCTTTGTCTTATTGTTAAACTGAACAATATTTTTTGTACAGTATCTGCTACAAATTCAGTGAATACTAAATGTGATTTTTCTTTGTAGGTATTTCTGTGAAATATCCCTGGACAAGACTCTGTATGCACGTACATCCAGCAAGACCAAGGCAGACATGTTATTCTGGGGTGAACATTTCGAGTTCAAGTAAGCCTATCCATTCCCATCACACAACCCATAATCTTCTCAAATCTGTATGTCCTAATTATGAGGTAACTGGGAAGGGATTTAGCCCAGTGAGTGAAGGTTTAGCTGAAGCAATGGAAAACAAAATCTTGGAAAATGAATTAACTTCTTTCTTTGCAATTAAGCAGAAGAAATATTTAGTGATGAACAAAAAAAAAATGCATTAAAACAAACAAATTTTACATTTTGTAATTGAGTTTGTGTAAGTGGTTCACAGAGCACAGCGATAGGTCCTCATTATGTGTGAGGTAATCAGCACTTCTAGGCGTTGGATTGAGGGATCTGTCTCTCGAGAAAATACTGATTGATGATCCAAATTATCAGTTGAGCCCCATTTTGTCAGTGGTATAGGGTCCTATTGATTCTGTAAGGAAAGACGAAATCTTTGACAGACTATAAAATTAATTACAAGTGTTCTTCACTAGGTTAGAAAAACAGCAATTATTGAAGTCTCTAAATCTGCTTTTTTAGGCTAAATTCTGGATATTACTAGTCATGGAAGGTTTCAAATTCCTAATAGTTATGGTGTGTTGTCAGGGGATGTAACAGCAGGCAATTTCATTCCGATGATTAACATTGAATCGTTAGTATCATTTACTGTAGTGATGTTATGGCAGCATGCCTTTTCAGACTTTTTAGGTTGAAATGTATTTTGGGTTTTTTTTTCAGCAACTTACCTCCATTAGAAATTGTCACCATCAACCTGTTTAGAGAAGCAGATAAGAAAAAGAAGAAAGACAAAAGCTGTCTCATAGGTGAGTATTGTATGGTGTGAAATTGTGTGTGACCTTGACATTGTTTGATATTTTTTAATTTCTTATAACTCATTTGCCAAAAATTAACAGGGTTATGACTTTGAGCTTGACCTTGAACTCGCACATGGTTGTGTGACCTTGACATTGTTTGATTGATACAAAGACTAGGCTATGCCACAGACTGAGGATGTAAATAACTGATTAGGCTACACCACAAAATGGAGATGTAAAGACAGACTAGGCTGCATCTCTGACTGATGATGTAGTTAGCTTAGCTACACAATGAACTGGTGATGTAAACAACAGACTTGAATACACAACAGATTAGTGATGTAAATGGCTGACTAGGCTACACAATGAACTAGTGATGTAAACAACAGATTACACTACACCCCAAACTGATGATGTGAACCACAGACTTGGCAACACAACAGATTAGTGATGTAAATTATTGACTAGGCTACACCACAGATTGGTGATATGAACCACAGATTCGTGATGTAAATGACGGACCAGACTTCATAATGAACTGTTGGTGTACACAACAGTATAAGCCAAGCTGTGTTATGCGACATGACATATTTTGTATTGAACTTAATTAAATATGTGTACTGTGATAGAGCCTAGTACACCTTGAGTTGTGTATACAGTGGCTGGCGCCCAGTAAAACACAACCTCAGGCTAGGCCAAGCAGTGAGTCATAGAGGTAGGTGTTAGGTGTGTGGGGCTACTGATGCTGAGGGTGCAGGCCTTCTCTTCACAAATAATTCATTACCTAGTGTGTCGTAATTGACATGCCTGTGTCTAGTATACTTCAAACATTCTCGTGTGTGTCATGTAACATGACTTTACACCATATAACAGGACAGATTCCACCTAATTTGATCTGTAGGACACGTATACTTTGGATAAGATGACAAGGTTGTGTTTACCTGGGTTACTACAGTTATTAGTATAACAGTTGGAAAATAAATTTGATTTATCAGAGAAAATATCAACATTAAAGTGTATATTAATCACCTTAAAAGCTGGCTTCCTATGGCCTTTACACGCCTTCCTTAACAAGAATACAGTTTTATCAAAATGTAATTCTGCTGCCAGGTTGTGTCTAAAATCTCCAGTGATTCAACAGACTGCTTTTGTTTTAAACTACCAACATATGTATCCTTAGTGATATGAGGTCTTATCACTGCCCTTAGTAACCCTTAGGTACTATTAGATACTGTTTGTTGGACTGGAAATCATCAGTCCCACCTGAAATATCAGTCACAGATGATAGGTCTTCTGGAGATTCTGGTCATGCAACTTTTGAACATTTCATGAACCCAGCTCTCTCAGGCTCCGCCATGGTCAGGAGATGAAATAGAAACCAGCTCAAAGGAGCTACCAGGCTAATGTCTCTGAACTTTAGTCCAAAACATTATGAGTCACATGATAACTTAAAGGTCACTTGTTACACAGATACCCATTTAAGTCTTATTTGTCCCAAGATATATGTTAAAGTCAGTCACTCTAACTGTCTGCCAAAGCTAATTCATGGATCACATGCGGACCATTTTATGTGCTTCTCATTGAATTCCAGTAAATTATGTACTGTTGCTATTTTGCTTGGTGTGATTACTGTACAACAAAGATCGGCTCTGGAATTAACATGTGAACAGGTTCTTGTTTAGGGGTTGCCTTTGGGAGATAAATGTACACAGGCAAATTTACTGGGTGGGACATGTACTTTAGTGAAGAAAAATCGAGTTGCATGTGATTGTAAAATGGCCAACAAGCTATCAGCTGCTATCATGATCCACAACACTAACTCCTCTTATGCACCTTTGAATTCTGGGTCTCATTTGTCTTGATGTTTCTGGAAAGTACAAAAAAAAGGTTTACAAAATGGGTTCTGTAGGAATAACATTCACAGCATAGGGTTAGGACAGAACCATTTAGAACTGAGTGGTCTATCAGTCAGAATCTTCATGATCACTAACTGTCTGGTTCTGTCCTTTTTTATAATGTACATCAGATGAAATGAAGTGGAACTTGGTTTTTTCTCTTTATCATTGAGTATCTGAAGAATTCATAGATTTACCAGAATCTGTCTGTACCTGTACTTGTCATAGCGTGTTTCATTTGTTAGAGATTTCAAGAACTTCAGTAACCAAACACTGATTTTAAGTTGGTTGAGATTCTGAACATTTTTGAGAGACAGTAGATAAAATTTATCTACACATAGTAAACTGATCAATTGGCAGAGTTCCAATTCTGAATCTTACAACATCAACAACATGTCTGTGAGGAAATCAGTTTCCCATCGGCGGTCAGAGGGAAAATGTTGTGTAGAAAATCTGGATTTGATTGATTAGAGCACCAAGAGAGATCTGACTAATCTAAAGACTCCTCATCACTGTAGATCTAACATACTTAAACAAGTGTGACTATTTGATATTTTTAGATTTGTTTGTTTTGACATGTGTTTATCTTTCTTCCATAGGTTATGTAAATATACCAGTGGCTGACATTTGTAACAGACAGTTTGTAGAGAAATGGTAAGAGATTTGTCCTTTAACTAGTTATGTTAAATCCCAGTCTATCTGATAACTGCTTGATTGCTGAAAGTGTCATGAGCTTTATTGATTAAATCCTGTCTACCCAATCTACAAATTCTTGTCCCTGTTTGGTATTATTATACACTATAATGACTCTGCTAAAATTGTGTGCAGGAAATTTCTAACAGCACAGTGCTAATTAAACCAGGAAAAATTAAGTTGGTTGTTTGTTGATTAAAGTGAGACCCAAATTTCTCTGTCTGCAGGTACACCACGAGTTCAGGGACAGTGGGTAAAATAGGCAAGGAGAACAAGAGTGAGCTCCCCTTGGTTCGATTAAAGGCACGTTTCCATGTAGTGGATATACTTCCGATGGAGCTTTACCATGACTTTACACAGGTATGATCAAGACTTTCTTAATTAATTGTTCTTGTTGTTCAAAGATTTATTATCATCTGTAATCTTGCATATATTTCTTCATTCAGATCACTTTTCAGTAACAATATAGATTTGTTTTTAAACAGCCATTTAAATCATGTGTAATGTCAAAACTACTGAGTCCAATAGAGATTATGTTATTTTACCACCTGCAGTACCTGAGTCAGGACTACTGCAAACTGTGTGAGGTCCTAGAGCAGATTGTCAGTGTCCGAGAGAAGGAGGAGTTAGCCACAACTATGGTCCACATAATGCAGAAGCTTGAAAAGGCCAAAGATTTCCTGTCTGATGTCATTATGGCAGAAATATCTCAGCTAGGTAAGGGAAATGATATATATAAGGCAAAATTTTATCCAGGATCAGTGGCAGAAAACACTACAGACTGGATATAACACACATATAGACTAGGTTAGTGAGATGGAGATATATATGAATATAACATAACACTACTACCGTTTACTTAATTATGTCATTAATATCAATGTTCCCTTTCTTTGTTTATTTAAATATGATAGGTATAGGAAGTTTGATTATTTGTTACAGAAAATCAGAACCTGACATTCCGTGGGAATACAATAGGGACCAAAGCAATGGAAGCTTATATGAAACTTGTCGGAGAAAAAGTAAGTAATGTGTACTTATTATTGTGTTAAGTTTGTAAAATATGTCAAGTCTCTTAAACGTTTTAGTTCATGTCAAGATACACTATTTCATTTGACCTTAAACAAGAATATGTATTATTATCTTTCGACTTTCAGTATTTGCACGACACACTGAGTGATTTTGTGAGGACAATTATCGACTCTGAAGACGACTGTGAGGTGGATCCCACAAAGGTTATGAATCCTGCCCAACTCAATAGTCACCAGCGCCTCCTGGATATGTACTGTGAAATGGTGCTTGCTAAGATCATCAACTCACACTGCTACTTTCCATGGTGAGGGCCATTACACGTACAGTGCAAGGGACATAACTCTTGTTCTGCTTTTAAATTTTGACAGGTTTCTCTAAAAATTTTTTCCTATGAAACTTAATGAAACATTCTGTATTATCTGCTTGTTTCTCACAGTGAGCTGCGAGAGGTGTTCTCGAGTTTCCGCGACCACTGTGATAGGACCAGTAAAGAGGATTTTGGAGACAATCTTATCAGTGCATCCATCTTTCTGCGATTTTTGTGTCCAGCCATTTTGTCTCCAAGTCTTTTCAATCTAACACAAGGTGAGTCTGATTGAATTACACCTCACCAACTGAAGCATGATGATATGATACTAATAATGTAAAGATTGTGAATTTTTCAAATTGACATTAAGATCTGTCACTCACATACTGTATATATATAATTTTTTTTTCTTGTATATTTCAGAGTATCCCCCAGAAAAGGCAGCCAGGAATTTAACACTGATTGCAAAGACTGTCCAGACACTTGCCAACTTCTCCAAGTAAGTCACACATCAAGAAAAAACTTCTATAAAAAATATATATTGATGTAAAAACTAAATAAATCAAATAGATGAGACCAGACTTTGTTAATACAGTTACTTTACATACCTGTACCAACTTCAAATGCATGGAGTATCAATTGACTTTGGGTTATCTCTTCAGATTTGGAGGAAAAGAAGAATTCATGACATTCATGAATGAGTTTTTAGAAAGACAGTGGGGCAGCATGAGGAGTTTCCTACAGCAGATCTCTGTAAGTCACATGTTACAGTCAAATGACACAGATCCTAATGGAAACTCCATTTTTAAGATACAAATCTTTTATTTGAATAAATGTTGTACATTTATTTGAAGCATGAAATAATCTTTGATTAATGGAGATACAATTTACATATTATAGAATGGTATTTATTCATCATAGCCACCATCTTCCTTTGACACCATCACCATATAGAATCCCTTACATTGTAATTATGTAACTTGTACTGTTGGTTGATAGAGCACGGAAGGATCTAACCAGTTTCTGGAGTTTGATGGTTATATAGATCTGGGTAAGGAGTTGTCAGTTCTACATGCACTGCTGCTGGAGAACCTAGGAAAAGCTGACAAGGTAAGCTCTCCCTCTCTGTGAGACTCTTTTGCCTAACCACTTCAGCACCAATCATGAGGGTTAAGGAGAAGTTTACCGACCCTTTTCCACAGATTCTGTTTGATAGATTGCTGATAAAAAACATGATGCAAATCAGCAAGAGAGATACAGTACAAGTTATCCAATGTGATGGTTTTCTGTCCGAGATCTAATTTAGATTTCTGTGATATGACTGGAATGAAAGTGGTTTTCAATACAAAACAGTTAATTAACATAGATATCTGACATTGTCTTGTTGAGATTGTCTTCTGATTGGAAAATGATTTTTTTTACTTAAAAATGTAATATACATTTTAGGAGACCATTGCCAAACTGGGGAAGCTTCCTGTTATCCTAGAGAGTGTGAGTCAAGCTTTAGATGATCCAGAGGTGGAAAAACGTATCCCAATAAAACACAACAGGAAGTCGCAGATTTATGACAATCAAGTCAACACCCCACAAGCAGGCACCTCTCCGACAGAAGTCCTTCGTGAAATGTTACGTCATTGTGGGGAGGAGGACATCCCTGTGCTTTCTGGTCGACGAGGTGCAAAACACAGTTCAGTCCATAGTAGTTTTGATGGGAGCACAGGTGGTAGTAATGGTCGCAATCCTGCTAGACATCGCAACACAAACGATGATTATGTCATGATTAGGGCTTTAAATTCAAGGAATGAGAGTGAAGTGTCGGATGTTTCTGTGAGTTCACGTTCAAACACATTAGAAACGAACCAATCGTGGAATGAGATAGTGAATGCTGCAGAAGGACTGAATGGGGAGTATATAGATTTGTTATCTTACATTGATGAGGATCAACAAAACTCCAGCATGGAACTAGAACACAACATGAACGGTAGCCAAATGTCGATCAGCCAGATTTCAACAATAGCATCCTCTGGGTATCAGTCATTTGGTTACAGTCAGTCTAATTCCCCGGTGGAATCCTCCAATCAACAGGATGGTAACAACCGTGATTATTCGTCCAAGTCACCCTCTGGTCATCACCACCCTATGCAACCTTTGTCCTTTTCGAACCCTATGTATCGACATATTCACTCGTCCTCTAGCTCTCAGCATGGTGGTACCCCCACACCTATGCAACAGGGCTCAACCAGCTCTGGTTCCCTCAGCTCTGAGGAAGACTCCAACACTGTTAAACACAGAAGTCCCATAAAACATGCTGACAGAGGGGAGTCCACCTCTTCTACATACAGTAACAACGGAAATGCTGACCGTCTCCGGAATCTTGCTCCCAAACTATCCAGTAGCAGCAGCAGTGAATCTCTACAGGACCATGACAGACATCGGTTCTCTCGGTCCTTATCAAGCCCTAATAATGACCTGGTGAAATTTTCGTTGGACTTTCATAGCTCCTGTCCATCTCACATATCTGAAGACTTTAATAATAGTAATGTGTCATCTTCGACAAATGTGAACAACTCATACTCCTTAAATCGGGCTCCATCACGCCCTCATGAACTTTTACACACAGGCAGTGTGGATTTTACATACATGCGACAAAAGTACGGTGACCAAATGCGTAGGACAGCTACAGACTCTAGGATATCACAGAACAGTACACCTGTACACATGCACAGTGACAGTGGTGTGTCCATGTCCAACAATCGTACACAGATGTCACCAGAGGATAGTCCTGCTCATCGCCGACTGTCGCCACAGACCACTGTTCACATGGGCATCCGGTCAGTGCAACGCAAGATCCATGAACAGGAAAAGACGAAACAAGAAGTAAGTGAAATCTGGATTAAAAGAGAAAGTTTTACACATACTTAATTTTTCAAAATCAAATAAAAGTGCCCAATAGTGACTAATAAGCATAATGTTGATCAGTACATCCAGGAAAACTACAATTAGCACAATCATATTTTAGCACGATAAACATGTTTGCATATGTTACAGTATGAACAAGAGGTGGAGGTGCTAAAACAGCAGGTAGCTGATGCCCAAAGACGTCTACAAAATGCAGAGAAAATGCTACAGGAACAACAGTCAGGTACGCATCTGTTAGTCGAGGACTGGCAGCTTCGCCTCGAGGAGAGCGAGGAACGAATGAAAAAGCAGCAGACGGACAAAGATGACCAAATGAAACACATTATACAAAGGTTTGTATGTACTGTGCACGCCATGCTACACAGTGCTACATGTAGAGCTAGCTATCTATCTGTATATATGGTGTTAGGTGGGTGTAGCCTGGCGAGTCTTGACTGGCTTCAACCACGCAATCACTGGGGCGGAGTCACGGATTGTATTACTGACACACACACTGGACGGTGGGTACTAACAATCACGCTTCACTGGGCATTCTGTCTATCACCATGACTACCAACATGGTTACTCTGCAGGTCCTCACTTGTCTGTCTGTTTGTCTTCTGTGTAAATAGCTGCTAATTGTTATGGCAACAATACCCTGTATGAATCCCTGTAACAACATCTTGCAAGTTCTTCTCCTAACAGCATGGTCAGATCTAATGTTCCAGACGCATACTTCCTCTATATATCAGAACAATCTATAAAACTAGAAGGATTTCTGTTATATACTGTATATATTCCTTCTTCACTGATAACTGTGTGTTGTGTACCCTGTAACAATAGAATGTACAGACCCTCTAACCTTTTGTTTTCTCTGTCTGTAATCTGGGTCCTTGTCTACCTACTAACAACATGGAATGAAGGTCACTTAACTGTCTCTTCAATATCTAAAATATATTAGCTTCATCAACATTGAATTTTTGCATTTGTAATTACCAGGTATTGTACTTTGAATATGTCTTTAAATGGTTTATATTTCAATCTACTTTACAGTTTTATTTCAATTATTTGGTATTCACATTTGAGAGTATATTTGCAAGATTATTTTTTCCTATATACGTCTAATTCTGATTGTGTATATAAACTGGTTTTTATATGTATGGACAAAGAATATATGATTCTGTTTCTCTTTTGTGTGTTGATTTTATCTTCTGAATGATTTTTTTTTCTGTTCAATCTGATCAATGTTAACTGTTGCATGGTGTCTAAACTGTCTGCATTGTTGGGACAAGAGGTCAAACAGGGTCACAAGAAAAGGCGAGTATGTGATCAGTGGTCACTAGAACAGTTGTTGATGAAAGTGAACTTATGGCAACAGATTCAATATAACCTTGGTCAGGATGTCTTATTGTAAATAAGAGAATTTTATGTACCCAAGTAAAAGATGAAAATACTTTTTGTTTTGAAATGTTGCCATTTGGTCACTGACCTGGATAAGGCAATTTGAATTGGTAGGAATATAGGAGATAGAAAAAGAGGATAGGTCTGTCAGCTGTTCTATACACCAAGGTCTGTCAGCTGTCCTGTACATCTGGTCCATCAGCTTTCATGTACACCTGGGTCTGTCAGCTGTCGTGTACACCTGGGTCAGTACGCAGACCTGTACACCTTGGTCTGTCAGCTGTTCTGTACACCTGGGTCTGTAAGCTGTACCGTACACCTGAGTATGTCCACTGCTCTGTGCACCTGGGTCAGTGTGCTGTCATGAACACCTTGGTTTGTCTACTGTCCTGTAAACCTTGGTCAGTCAACAGTCTTGAACACCTGGGTCTGTCAGCTGTCCTGTACACCTTGGTCAGTGTGCAGTCTTGAACACCTGGGTATGTCCACTGCTCTGTACACCTAGGTCAGTGTGCAGTCTTTAACACCTAGGTTTGTCTACTGTCCTGTAAACCTTGGTCAGTATGCAGACCTGTACACCTTGGTCTGTCAGCTGCCCTGTACACCTGGGTCTGTCAGCTGTACTGTACACCTTGGTCTGTCAGCTGTCCTGTACAACTGGATCTGTCAGCTGTACTGTACACCTTGGTCTGTCAGCTGTCCTGTACACCTTGGTCTGTCAGCTGCCCTGTACACCTGGGTCTGTCAGCTGTACTGTACAACTGGGTCTGTCAGCTGTACTGTACACTTTGGTCGGTCAGTTGTCATGTAAAGGTTCAGACTGATGTGTATAATAAAATATCACTCGTTCCTGCCCTAAGGTAAGTGAGGGAAGCTGATCATTTTGAGGTCAAGGTAAGTCTTTTTAAATTTCTTCTTTTTTTTGAACTTACAAATTTTTGGTTTTGCACTTTTGCAACATTTTGTACTGAAATACCTCTTTACTGATGAAGCATGTTGCTATGTTTGTCCTTGTAGACTCATGACAATAGAGAATGAGCAGGAGGAAATGGAAAAAATTGTACATCAGAAGCAACGTGTGATTGAAGCCCAGGAGAGACGTATTCAATCCCTTGACAATGCCAATGCTAAACTAATGTCTGCCCTCAGTCAGCTGAAGGACCAGTACAGCACATCTCAGCCCAGAAATGGTATGATTGGGCCCCTTCGCTCTAAACTGACTCCATCGGAATTTGCAGAGTTTAAAACAAGCTCTTGCTAGATGCAACAAAGTGCTGACAGTTATTCAATCTGGTTTCATGTGGAATATTAATCAGCTACAGGATTTAATGGTGGGATTTGTGTGAACTTCCCTGCCTGGCTTTTTCAAATATTCTTTTTCTCAGATTGTGTATGGGATTACATTGGCCAGTGACTGTAGTCACATGATATTATAGCTGGACTGTAGGGTATACAGATACTATAGGACATGGACAGCTGTGTGTGATTTGAAATCACTAAAATGGTCAGTACATGATTCAGCCAAAATGACATCCAACAGGTTACACTGGGGTCGGACTCCTTGTTATGCGTCTACCATATAATCAGTGCTACCAGGATAAACTGGAGTCAGAACCACCCATTTATCAGTTGTATATCAACAATATAACAAAGAAAACAAGATCAGAGCAGGCTTATATAGGCCTAACATAGGCATATTACAGGATGACAAATCAGGCTTACATTAGCCTACAGTGTGACATAGGCCTACTGCAGGTTATTGTAGGCCAAACTTCTGCAGAATGACCGCCTTACTACAAGACGACTGAGCAGGCTTAGGTAGGCCTAAATGCAGGACCTCATGTAGGCCTTGCTACAGGATGGCAGAGCGGACTCGTTGGCATAATTACTGGACAACAGAGCCTGAAAAAAGATGACACAGAAGACTTATTTGGGCCTACAAACTACAAGCAGGATGGGTCTTTAGGCCAACTACAGGCTGGATTGGTCTATAGGCAACTACAGGCTGGAACTGTTCTATAGGCCAATTCAAGTCTAGGCTTGTGTATAGGCTATAGGTGTATCCTCTGTGATTGGCAAAAAGAAGCAAGAAAACTGTTTCTAAAGGAGGATTGTTGTTGTCTAGTACTATATTTATAAACATGTGTGCTTGTCTGTGATTAGGTGGAGCACTTAAATGTATTTATTTATTGTTGGCCTTTTTACCCCTGTAACCCATGATAGAAGGAAAAAAAGAGGGTCTCTGTCAGGATATATGGACCCAAAGAAATATACGAGTCCAAAAACGTCCTGTAGGATACAGAACTCTCAGTATACTGTGGATCAAGACAACAGTCCAACATTCACATATTATAGATATTCCTTATTTGGTGCATGGGTCAAAATAGAAAGACAATTCTAAAACAATTTGACAGGGATCTTCAAATTCTGTGCAATAGTTTCGCCTTTTGTTCATGTCATGTAAATTACTTATATATAAAATATTTGTTGTTCATCATTGAAAAATGAAAGTGCATTAAAACTATGCATTATATATTAACTCTGTTATTTATGTTAAACTGCTGTGATCATGAAACTTACTGAATCAATTGATCTGATTATGATGGCATCAGTACTAGTGCATTCAACGGCAAAGAAACTTATACTAAGGATATACTTTGTCCTCAACCTTAGTACCGATAGTCATGAAAAATAGAGTGATCTCCCTTGCTGCTGGAGACGCTGCTGTCTGTTTTTTAGAAAATGCTTTATATGGCATAATAATTCATTTTGGTAAATGTGTTTGGTTAGACACCGTTTAGATATCACCTACATTAAGATGTACTCTTCTTCAATATCTGGCTTAGTGCAATATTTTCTTCACTAAAAAAACCTTACATTTTCACCGTATCAGTGGTCAGTTGACAGATTGGTTTGTGTTTAGAATGTCTGCATTTGTTAGGAATGTTGTGCAAGTAATCGTTGTCAGGATAGCAAAGTCAAAGTTGGTTTGTGGTACTGGTGTAATAAAAAATGAATGGTTATGATACAGTCAAATTCATTTTTATCTCTCGCCAGCAAAGAAGTTGTACAGGGGAATAAAAATACATCATGCATTGCATAACTCTGTAATGACTTTCGCTTCTGGTAGAATTATATACCAAGTAAAATATTCCTTTACCTTGTCTCTGTTCAAACAGGCAATTTTTAAAAAAAAATCATGTTTCTGAAAATGTCTGAAAAAAATGTCTCATTGTATGTAACATATATAGAGAATCCTGTTTTATCTACAACAAAGCTGCCAAAATTATGGATCAAAATGATCAGACATTTCCAAGGCCGAGGTACTTGTTTTAACTACACATAATATTCATAACACTTAATTGGTATTTTTCCTGTCTGTTGTGAAAGGTCCATTAATTCTACAATGGAATATGAGTGAGTTTGTACATGTAATTGACAATCTCTTGAAATTTGAGAAAAGGTTTTAAGTGTACTCATTTAAAGAAGAACCATACTTAATTATTCTTGTGCTGTTGATCAAGAATTGTATTCTACTCAGGATAAAGGTACTGTAGACTACGTACACCAATATTTTAAACTGGAACTTTGTTTCTGATGTTTCAGCTCCTGGATCAAAAAAATTAATACACAATTTACATGCATATGGAGCTGTCTACTCTGATGATAATGAAACATTTCTAAGCTAAAATTATTTCATTTGTTCACAGTTCCTGAATCATTCACATGCCAAATGGTTTATGTACAAAAATCCAAAAAGTTAGTTTTTCAAATTCAGAATGATGCATTTTTGGCTGTATAGTACGTTTGACCCGGTATTGGCACCACTATAATTTACACATTTACTGGTACTCTGTTTACACAACAGAGTCTGATGGCATTTAGACATTCAGATTTAGTTATCAAGTCCCCTGTTAATAAATTTTAATATTATTTGATTATTTAATATGAGTTGACATAGTTAATATGGCTGAGAAATCCTTGATCGCTTATTGTAAATGGTATATATAATTTATATATCTTTAATCCTCCGGATACAGTGGTGTCTGAGAACAGCCCTATGGTATCGGGATGTATAGAACTTGTAACAATATTACCATACAGTAGATGCTTTCATGAATCGGTATGATTGAAAGAAGAGTGCTATATTAATATTTAGCCAAAATCTAGTCTGAAAATTTGTAAGTATTTTTGATAATATGGAATGTTTGGCCAGAAGAAAGAGAAACTGAATGAGAATATCTGGTCATTTCTCCAGGTATATATAAGGGTCACTTGATGTGAGTGTTAAGTGTGTGATGTGCGCTGATAAACGGTATGGTCATTGTAGATTGTGTCTAGTTAACAATACATAGAAACTTGCAAAAATTATTTAAGCAAATGAAATGAAGGGAAAAAGTAAAAACTTCAAAACTGAAATCTTCTGTTGTGTTTTTTATGACTTATCCGTGTTTATCCTATGACTGCTGTGTTAATCAGCGTGTTAACTTGTGTAATATGACTGATGAAGTCAGGAGATGATAATAAAGTGATGTCACTAACTCACTGAAATGCATGACAGCATCACAATGAAGATCATCTTAAGAGCTATGATGACAAAAAAAATGACACAAAAATCATGTTTTCTGTAATATTTTGAAACGTTCCTGAGACCATATTGATCTTTAATTAGTTTCCTCATTATACATGGTGTACAGAATGAAACTCATCACAAAGTTATCTTTTATTTTTGTTTTAGAAATTTTATATAAAATTGAAATTCTTATAAACAGAATTGTTATACAGGTACTTAGCCATGCATTAGTTAGATCTCCCAACACGAAACACTAGTTGTAATATTAAGTAACACTAATGAATCAGACTACTAGTGAACTAGCTAGAAATCCATCCAGTCCAGTCCTGTGTACACATTCATTTCAATTAAATCACAAATATAGGTATAAAACACTCATCATCAAAAAGTAGAATCTTAAATCAAGTTTTGTTTAACTTGCCATAGATGGGTTGGAGATGTGTAGACTGCACAGCACTCATTTTTTCCTCCAGTATTACTCCAGTGGTATACCCTCAAAACCTCTGCTTGGACTCTCACCAATATGATGCATTGCTTGAATACAGAGTGACTTATCCAAGGAAATGACTCCCAGTGGAAACTGGTAGTTGTGGTTTAAAAGCCTTCTCATAAATACCTGGTAGCAGTATAGATTGTAACCAATTTATGTGAATCCTTATTTGGGTAAGATGTCATAATATTTCTTAAATAAATCAAGATGGGTCAGCATGACAATAGATGGAGATGGTCTATTGTGAAAAAACTAGTACACCATCTGCTGTTTATAACCCTTGGGTGGAGCCTAACAAGAAATATTGAATATCATTAATTTCTCAAAATAAATTCTCTCGATTCACAAACAAAATACTACCATAATTCAATGCAACAAAATTTATTGCTACACTTTAATTGGGTTATCTACAAAACCGTTACAAATTTTAGAAATAGCTGCTTACCAAAAACATTGTGTGTTTGGTGTTCATTCTACCGCAATTGTCCAAGCTAGTTCATTCCCTATCCCTTGGGATAAAGTACCCAATTCCATCAATAATCATGTTCAATGCGTGATCCCCATCCCACCACTATATACAGTTTTAGAATTGGTCTGGAAGAGATAGATATGCTTCTACGGTCTAAAATGGAGCAGTTGTTCCTCAAAGAAGTTTCTAAAATTATATCTGATCTTTTATTTCAACCAAATATTTCATCAGGCATCACTGGGAAATAAAATGATATGAAAATATTGTCCTCCGATATGAAGAGACTACACATGGAATTCACGTATCTGGTAAGCATATAATATCGTTGTATGATTGCATGAATTGGCATTAGGATATGATACTGTATTAAAGACAATTTATGATAAGTATGTATGTAGATAAGCTACACTGATGAACACTTCTGATAAAGGAACCTTGGGAAATGTGTGTTTGCAAGCACATACGGACTTTTAGATAATTTAGCAATTTGATATTCCAATGTGCAACCCTCTAATCCAAAGGCTGGTTTTGGAATCTTTCACAAATATACGATACATCAATAATTTCATGTGGATTCAGATTCAATGCGTGAACAACGAGATAGATTTTAGACATGCTAATATTGATTTTACAGAACCTATTGTACTTTTTTGTATTTTTGCCGATTTTTAAAGGATAGCTGTTTCACATACAAGGGACCGTTTAAAGTATAATAAAATGCACCAGTCTATCTATGTACCTGTCAAGTATTGTTATTTTAGTATATGGAATTTAACATATAAATCATTTCCTTGTGACAATCTCATTTCCTCATCGGTATCCATCATTTTATATACCTACACAGATTTCGTTACAAGTTACCAGTCCGCATGCAATATGACAATAAATTACGTTGGAAGGGAGGTAACTCTAAAAACTCCATTGTTGTGATGGCTTCAAAAGGCATCGTATTAGCGAATGCTTCAATTTCAATATGACATTTATACGTTTCTGACTTGGCCTATACTGTATGTTGCCAGGTTCGCGCTGAGAAATATTAAATACGTAAACTTCATGTGTATTTTTTTTTTATTAAAAATTCATTTTGATGCATTGTGCTTTAAAATTTACAATTTACTCGGTAGAATTTGTATTTGGATGCATGGCTTAACGTGTCGTCAGTGAAGTAGAAGACGTTTTTCTTTCGGGAACATAGCATTTAGTAAGTTAAATATGTGTGTCTCTTTCATTCCTCAGGCTTCGTTTCCTCGTGTTGCCATTCTTTTAAGAAGTTATCTAATATCAACCCTTGGATCTCCACCACAGGCACTCGAGGCCAGGATATTATTTTTTAAACATTGATTTTTGTTTTAGCACTCATGACTGACGTTATTTAAACGAAATATCAGCAGAATTCAAGTTTATGTGCCGGTTGACAAATCCGAGGTCCACGGTCATTAAAAATACACAAGGCAAGCAACTCCAGATTTTAAAAAATCGACCCCTCGCTTGGAAACTGGCTCAAAAAAAGTAGTTATGATAAGTTCCTTGTAAAACAATATGTATCCGTAGGTAGTGTGTATATTTACCTTTTATTTGGTGCATAACATTACAGGCAACGAGAAATTCACAATACGTACATGAGATTAACATCTCAATAATCGGAGATTTTATCGTCCATGTAATTATCTTTGACGGAAGTAACATGCCATTTCAAGGGCGGTCACTCCGACTTTTTGGGAGAGGAGTTCCGGATAGCACTATACCAGTGAACAGGTAAGAAAGGTTCCGATGTCATTTCGCGCGTAACTTCAAAATAGATATTTTTATTTCTACAAATACATTTGCGGGGATGGAAAAATAATGGCTGGGCAAAGAAAGTCCACAGTTGCCAACTCGGATACAATATCATGGTAAGGGATTATACAGAATGCATCAACTTTCAATCAAGCTGGCGGTAATGAGAATTTTTTTTCAAAAAAAAAATAGAAAAAAATCATGCAGATAATGAAAAAAGGGCGCAATTTATGAAAAATATCGTGGGGGAAATATATTAACTTAGAAATTGGAAATTTAATGATTTTTTTTCTATTTTTTTTTATTTTGAAGTTACGCGCGAAATGACATCGGAACCTTTCTTACCTGTTCACTGGTATAGTGCTATCCGGAACTCCTCTCCCAAAAAGTCGGAGTGACCGCCCTTGAAATGGCATGTTACTTCCGTCAAAGATAATTACATGGACGATAAAATCTCCGATTATTGAGATGTTAATCTCATGTACGTATTGTGAATTTCTCGTTGCCTGTAATGTTATGCACCAAATAAAAGGTAAATATACACACTACCTACGGATACATATTGTTTTACAAGGAACTTATCATAACTACTTTTTTTGAGCCAGTTTCCAAGCGAGGGGTCGATTTTTTAAAATCTGGAGTTGCTTGCCTTGTGTATTTTTAATGACCGTGGACCTCGGATTTGTCAACCGGCACATAAACTTGAATTCTGCTGATATTTCGTTTAAATAACGTCAGTCATGAGTGCTAAAACAAAAATCAATGTTTAAAAAATAATATCCTGGCCTCGAGTGCCTGTGATCTCCACAGCTGGAGAAAGAAGGTATCACAAAGCCAAAAAATGTCGGTGCGGTAGTTATTTTGGAAATTCGGTATTTGTTGTATGTAAAGCACTTGTTAAACAGAGCGATAATGAACCTTTGTATACTTTTAAAGTAAATCACCAGGAGAGAGTGTGGCATATATTTTCATTCACTTTTATTGATGACACGACGAATAAAAAAACCCACTTATTTCAAGATAGAAAAGACACACAAGTAATTATCAACATTTTATTACAAATTTAGAAGATACTGTAGAGTCAAATAATTCTTTTATAGAAACGGTTACATTGTTGAATTCCGAATCTCATCTATAGTAATTAATGCCTTAACCTTTGACCTAAGCGACGAATGAAGTGTGGGAAGAATCAGCTGAACATTATCATTGTTCTTTATCAGCAACTGAAATCAAAAAGATTAAAGTTTTCAGCGAGAAAGAAATGGTGAAGTGCGGAAAAAAATGGCTCGACAGAACTGTATATGTTATGTGAAACCGATCTATATCTATAGTAAAAGTAACCCGTTTCACTTTGACTTCTGAACATGAAAAGCAATTTCATGGGAACGTCGGTTCGGCACTGAGCGGTCCTCATAACTGATGGAGAAATTTTATTCGGAAATGTAAAGTGGGACTGGCGGAAAAAAGCAATCACTTTCCGATCTTCGATCAAGTAGAGAGGAGATGGGGTTGTGGTATTCTCTACAAATTGGTGAATTCAACAAAGAGTTGCTTCCCTTGGATTGAAAAATATCTGATGTGTTGTACAATGTTTATTTCTCTATACTACAAAGTAGAACATTACGTAGATATTCCCGTTGATGTGGCGTGAATTCGCAGTAACTTAATATGTACTTTGTTAAAATCAACTTAAGTCCTGGTAAATAACATCAATCGATCACATGAAGGTGCTAATTACTATATAGACAAATACAGAATCGTAGCTAACAACGGGTAAGCTTTTTACCAGAGCCCACAGAGCTACAAGAATTGTCTGAAACCAAAGAATAAAAATCGACACCATTTTCACAACAAAATGACACATGTAAGTTAATCTAAGGTTAATAAGATCACAAAAATAAAGGCATCGGTTTACTAAAATATCCCTGGCCTAAAGCTGTCAACACATAAAAAATAAATCGATGTTTGGGTGAAACAGAGAAGAGCTACTATACAGATATTCAGTGTAAAAGATTTCGTGTTTAGATAGAAAGAATGTATATGTTCTTGTCAAATCTCCATAAGCACTGTCAAATTCGGTTGATGATATGATGGCACTTCATCTCTTTCAAGATAGCGTGAAAACTTATTTTCCCGCGCCGGTCAAAGATCGAGAATTTCAGTAAAGGCTTGGACCAACTTGGTTAAAATTTCATGATTTACTATAACAGTTTGTTACCAACCACCAACTATATATAATACATCTATATTTTACTCTCTGGTCTCTTATTACTATAAAACATGGGTTAAGGTTATATACTTTGTGTGGCCACGCCTTCTTTTCAGTTTCAGTTCCAGCGGGAAGTGTTCTGTAAGATAACCGAAATTTGTAAACAATTCGGGTGTATATGGATAAGATTTGTAAGTTAACAATTCTCATTGTAAATATATGTAAGGAAGGGAGATAATCATAATATATATATACATGTATTTTTTTTTTTAATTATTGGAAATATATATATATAAATTGAGAATGTGGCACTCACTGGGGTCATAATACCGGTAAATCAGTTTCACTCCGATCAGGTTTTAGTTTCGGTTTGTTTATTATCATTATGCCTTGCGACACATCAGAATATAACATGGCATTACATTGATACAATGCACATCATGATAAATACATCAGATCACAGCGAGATACATCACAATCGTATAAAACTATACAATGACATACATTGTAGAAATATAGTATATTACAATGAGTCGATTTAGCCTGAAACAGTAACATTTAATACAATACTTTAATTAAGTCCATTTACTTACTACTGAAATATCCGTAGATATCAATTAAACTCTAGCATGAAGACATCTCATAATTAAGTATATCATAGCAGATAGTGAAATACACATACTTCATTGTCAATCATGGAATTTACAATTTTTCATCATACAATATAATGCCTTACATTATTTTATTTTTTTCGGATGTATAAGTAGAGTGTTGCAACAAAAAGCTTGCAATGATATGCAAATACAAAATTATAAAATATTGACTAATTATTTCGTATTTTGAGTGTCTAATAGCTGAATCAATTTGAAAACACTTTGTCTTTTATAGTAATACGGCTTGATGTACTGGCTTCATTGGTTGTTATAAAAGTTTCATTTCAATATAAAATGAAATTCATATCTGATGTCATTTGAGTATTTTATCACTATATAGGTATCTATATGTTCCTTTTTCGCTATTTAAATCACGTGAGCTTAGTCTAAAGTGTGCTGTAGTCTTTTTGTAAGACATAGAAATTGATTTTCTTAATTAAGATTGCATAGTAAAATTATCTGTAAGATTTCTGTAAAGAAAACCGTTGGAAATTGTTTGGGTGTTTGTTTATATATCTTGCCGATATATATTGTAAACCCTTGGTCAATAGTTCTATAAAAATGTCTACTACTTCTGACAATCGCAAAGATAACCCAATCCGTTAATGACGGAACTGTTTTGAGTCAACTGGAGCCGTACTTATTTTATCAGTACCCCGACGAATAACGTCGTAACAAAGAAACATACATGATGAATCATTGTTATTATAAGCGAAATATGGAAGACAAAAACATGAAAAGACAGCAAGACTCACAGACATTTCAAATATATTTCTTAAGTCTCTGTAACCCTGGTAAAATACTAGCCGCAATATACCATTCGGCTAGAGAGAACTTCTCTTTAGCTCGATTGGTTGATCGCCAGACTAGTACGCCAGGGGTCCCGGGTTCGATTCCTGATTGCGGAGGCATTGAGATGGAAAAATGACTTCTGTTACATCTGTAACGTTATTCAGAAACCGATTAAATGAATCGTCAGCGCTGCAGGAGACGCTCACCCTTCCGGAACAAATGATCTTACTCTCATTTTACTTCATCGTCATATTTTTTCTGTTGTTCATATGTCATCCTCGTTTGGTCTATTTTGAGCGCATATCACTTCAAATATAAATAAATTCAATAAGAAATGATGTACGATTTAACTTTACGTAGTCTGGCTTGACATGAGGGGGAAAAAACTAACCAGTGACGTACTAAGGATGATGTCACATTCCACGTGGTTTGTGACGAATCTGAAAAAAAAACACAAATAAAATTCATTATAGCATCAATCAAGTCCTACGTGAATCTTGTTCGCACATTCTATAGCAATAACCACGCTAATTAAAAGTTTAACTATAGCGAGTGGCGTCCTGTGTTACGTCATGGCTCGTGCCGTGCTGCGTAGCAGGTCGAGCGACCACAGGTAAACCCAAGCATAACTAACCGAAAACCTGAAGAAGCCATACCATGAATTAACAGATACGTTAGAAGTCGTCTGCCACAGTCCCGTGGGTTATACTGACCGTGTCATCCACTACCGACGGATTATCCTCACACTCGTTCTATGTGAGGAACACGTGTACTGTGATTTTCCTCTCCAATTCCCAAAATTTGTGTGTGATGACAATGTAGTACCTTAGAATAGTTACCGAGAGAGAGTGAGAGAGCTCCTATCGATTTTTGTTGTACGTCGCTCACTGTAGCGGTACGGTGGATATTCGGAGTCTATGGAAATCCTCGCTGATTTCAGCTAGCAGGATGGCTAGCTTTTGTTATCCTGTGTGAAAATAGTGTAGTGTGGTGTCAACATCGATTTCTACAGGTGTAAAACGGAATGACATCTACCATGGAACATCCCGTGGAAGATCAGGTATGTAATAATCTGTTCTAGATACCTGTAGTGTAGAAAGTACATGTATATTTGTATGTAGTGTCAGCATTATAACAGTACTGATATAGTGATCATGTTTCTTTGTCACCACGCTTCACCAAGTCTCGGATACTCACCTACACTCAGGTAAAAGAAATGTTTAAAGTGTAAGTGCATTCATCATAATTTGGAAAATAAAAAAAATACATGTTTGCATTTCCTATATAATTCATTCCTTCAGTACATACAACATAGAAACTAAAAATAATGAATTATGGTTTAATTGACTCTCCTGATTGTCCGTTATAACAGAAAGAACCTGTTAATGAAGCTGCAACATTTTTTTTTAATTCCTAATTGCTAACAATGAGGTTTAGATAATCTGTTGTGTTGGTACCCTAAAGGAGACCTTAGCCTAAAAGCGCTCATACAATCAATGCTGTTAACACTAAAGAAAATAAAAGAGAAACTGAGGACATTTCCACTGGTAAAGCGTATTGCTGCTAAATTTCTCTTGACTCTGCCCAGTGGGTTATCTACTATGCTCAACCAGCGGTCCTGAGTTCAGTTCCTATCGGAGACATTGATAAACTAATGACCTCTCTTACATACATACTTACATGGAGAAGTGTATTAAGACATATCTAAATCTTTGAATTAATTACCATATGCTACTTACATATATACCTGTACAAAGGTAATAAAGGTCAAAGGTTTAGGTGAGGCTGAATGTTTTTCCATAATTAATACAAAGTCATGTCTGTTTACTGATTTGGCTAGATGTATAAATTAGTATGAATTGAATTTGTATAAACAATGGTATTATATATTACAGTTCGCTAAGTAAGACAGGTGAATCATTGTAAGGTGACAGTGGCCAGGTAAACAAATTCCTATACAGGTAACTGTCATCAGCAGCAGATGTATCATCACCTGGAATACATACGTATTTCCACCTGGATGACATAATCCATGTTCATTAAGGTGATTTATATTTTCACCTGCTGACTGTCTGGTAGAATTACATGAACATGATGCACTGTACCGTGATTACACCAAAGTTCTCCAGACTGTGGTAATCTTGTAGAACCTTAACATGGCTGTTAAGTATAGTAACAGAGGTCATTATTTATTTCATTGTCTCCGCTAGGATTCAAACCTCGGCCCTCTGGCTTACCATCGTGTCATGTTCAACTAATCAAACGAAGGGAGAGATTTGTGTAGAAGATTTTTATGGCCACCTTGGTATTGTTGCTAGAAGTATCATGGAGTCTAGCAGTGCAGATGTTGTTGTTTAACCTTCCTAGTACTATGTCCTTACTCTTCATCTAACAAGAAGTGACCAGACAACATCTATACTGTTTATACATTACTAATACCAGACTTGTGTATTTCTCCTAGAAAGATTAGCAAAAATTAATGGAACTACCCACATGGACGCAACTGCCCACACGGACAGAACTGCCCTCACGGATGGTGGATCTCATTTTCTTTGTATGGTCTTCATGTAACAGTTAACACGGGGAAATGTTTTTATCCATTACAAGAACAAAGACAGTTAAGATTTTTATGAATTTTCATGAAGAATACAAATTTTACCATGTGGTCTGAGCCCTTGTTAGAGGAGATGTAGGTGGAATATTCCTTCTGTCTGTGCAGAAACTGTGAGTTTTATAGTTTTGAGCTTTTGAATAGTTTCTTGCCGTTTTTCTAGTATTGCTGAAACTGGACTGGTCAGAAATTTAAAGCCAGTGGATAATAATGGTCAGTTTCAGCAAACTGAAGTATCAAACATATTAGTATTAGCAGGCTCTAGAACTAAATTTCTGTTTTATGGTAGTGCTGGTCTCACAGTGCCTATGATGGAATCTCCGCCTCATGTAACATTATTGTAGCCTCCATATTCTGATAAATACAGGTATCACATTAATCTTAGACAATCACATTTTATTGGTGGTACCAATAATATCAAATTTAAATTGGGCATGCAGATGTCAGGAAGTGCAAAAATTTCTAGCCTTTACTCCAGCAAGAGAGATTGAAATTTCTCATTCTTGATAGAAATTTGAGGACAAAACTTCACCAATCTTTGTGACTTTCAGAGCACAAAATTACACCTTTTGCTTGACTTCAAGGAGAACATTTTTGCCATCAACATGCATCTCTGGAAATTAAGTTCCTACACAATTTTGAGTAAGTTTTCATCTTATTCACATAATACTGGGAAACAGAGTTCCACTCAGAGATTCACAGTTTCTTGTCTTGCTTGAGTCAGTTGCTCTGTGGGATTTCACCTTCACCCAGGTTTCAAACTTTACCTGATAGCACCAGTTTCACATGAAACAGTGGTTTTATATTTAAACTCTATTGACAGTGAATTGAAAGAGATAACAAAATGGAACAAATTTTACTTGTCAGATATGTGTTTGTGTCAATATTGGTACCAATGGTCATGTTTACTCAGCTTTATGAGAACACAGGCATGAGATCTATAGGTTATGTGTGTATGGCCTGCATTACCCTGAACAAGATAATGGAATCAAGTGTTTTACCAATGCCTGACCAACTGTCCCTGTATCACATAATATTGCGACGACACTGGAATGAAGTAAACCATGTACGTTAAATAGCGGTGGTGTTTGTCAGTAGTCTTCAAGGTCGTAGCTGTATTGTTGGTATTTAATGGTCTATGATTACAGTCGAGGTAGGCGAGGTGCGATATTACTTGTGATATAGTCACTGTCGCTCTCTTGGCTACGATTCTGAGATTACGAGTATCCGATAACACAATACAGAGATTTTCTACATGATTCTATTAAGCTTCGTCATAGTGAGCAAATGTTCGACAGGGGAATTCATTTCCATTGTGATATTTAAAAGTGCAGGAAATAACTCCACTTAACAGAATTATTCAACTTACGCAATCAGAAAAATGTGACGATGTGTTATTATTTCGTGATTTTCTCTTATCTTAAATTCTGAATAGGATGTGTATGAGCCTATACACTTTTGGAAGTCACTTTAGTTGTGATATGTATTAAATATGCAGAAAACTGAACAGACTCACTATGCAAGGGAAAATTTAGCACAGCGTTTTCATTTGAAAAGGGACAGTTGGTTTTGAATCACAGTAACAAGTGCACACATTATTACGCCGCAATTAATGGGAATGATGTAATGTTTTTACAGGCATGTGTTAAGGTTCTGCACTACTGACGAGATATTGTACATATCTTTTAATAACCACAGGATAAAAACTCAAAATCTGACTCAAAGTCAAGGATGGGCTTACCATAATTTCCCTGATAAATATTGGGCAATACACAGTTTCGAAAAGTCTTGTTAATTTTTATGCTTGAAGCGATGACCAGTAAAACCAATTTATAGTAAAATACACGCTATAAAGATCATTGTATATAGGACTACAAAATTTGACTTAGTGTACTTTATCTGTATCCCATGTCCCAGGTTTACTTATACATGCAGTACCTTTATGTAACTAACCTTTTAACACATGACATGTAACAGATGTGACCCAAACAATGTGATCACATGTACCGATTTGATAAACTAGCTCCAGTTGTTGGATTATTTATTTCTTTGGTTTATCACTACATGAATAGCTAGAGTCATTTCAAGACGTAGTCCCGTTGTAGTAGTTGGTGGCGGACTCACTGAACAACATGCAGAAGGTCTGGCACATACTATTCAGCAATTTGGGAAAAGCGTTTTGTCCGAGAACACAAGTATATCATCTATCACAAGGCAGTCAGTATACTTGGCTTCTTCGAAATACAGACTGCCCTGAGTCTCGAATTTTCACCAAAGGCTGTAAAGTCTGATGCTGTACTGAGCTATATCAGTGAAAGAGCTGACTCTAATATTGAATTCATTTGAAGACTGACAAGTTAAACTGATACAGAAATACCATCTGTTTGATCACCAGCTGACATATCTATGGATATCTTTTTGATTATTTGAAACTTTAGAAAAATTGACAATTACTGCATTTTTCTATGATTTAAACACCATGCACACAGAAGTTGCATCCACCATAAACCTCTATCATGCTTCCTGCAATCCTGCTTGGCCCCAACCAGTGAGTCCTCTTCCCCATTTTTTTCCTACCCCACCCCAGGCTATGGAATAGAATAAGAAGACGAGATGGGAAGTGAATTTTAAAATGAATCAGCATGCCCTCACTGGTGTACTTTAAATACCATGTCCAAGATGCCATGTTGGGAAAAACCAACCCTGAGGCAGCCTTGATTTAAACACTTCATCATGCTGGGTTAATGGCCAGCCATTCATTTAAAAAAAAATCATGCACACATAACTTAGCTTGTTTCACAAAATGTGCACAGGTTGATGGCCAGGAGTTGAATTATGGCTGTTAAATGGTGGTGATAGCATTGGGTCAATGTAAGCAACTGTTGCCATCAAAGTGGGCGTGGTTCTCATAGAGCGGAAACAGCAACGCTTTATGTGAGGTTATTAAGAAAATGTTTTTGCCAACTTTATTTATATCTGAAAAATTCGGAAGAAAAGAAAAGAAAATGAAATTGTAATCTGATAAATGTAAAAAGAAAGTGTAGCTTTAAAAAATCTATAGTAATTTTAGAAGTAGAGCTACTTATAAGCCAGGCCTCTTGGTGAGGGACCGCAGATAACAACAGGGATGTAAATACATGTAGGGATAGTTAACAATAGTTTGCCTGTCATTCATTACTTCTTTGTAAGCTAGGAAAGTTGTCATGAATAGTTAATATTAGTCATTATTAGTAATACTGATTTTTTTTAGCAGGAAACATTTTGTCGGCGGAAATATGAAACTAGACAGGTCATATGATCTCATGTAATCTGCCTGAAATCTAAATGATAGATTTTTTAACTGTGATAATACAGTAGGCTATGTATAGCTGATATTAAAGAACAAAACATAAAGTGTAATTTTACAATAGATAATCCGAACACAAAGTGAGAAAATCCAAACACAAAGT